TCCTTTCCTTTATTTCCTCTTTTTTTTCTTTTCTTTTCTTTTCTTTTCTTTTCTTTTCTTTTCTTTTCTTTCCTTTTTCTTTCCTTTCCTCCTTCCTTTCCTTTCAAATTTTCTTTCCTTTGCTTTCCTTTATTTTCCTTTCCTTTCCTTTCCTTTCCTTTCCTTTCCCTTTATATTACGTCCTTTCCTTTTCTTTCCTCTTGTATTTCCTTACATTTTACTCTCTCCTTTCCTTTCATTTTCTTTCCTTCCCTTCCCTTTTTCCTTCCCTTCCATCACTATTGTTTCCCCCTTTCTGCCTTGTGGTCTAATCTCCTCTTTTTCTTCTCTTTCTCTCCCTACATGTCTAATCTCGTCCCCTCCCCTTATTTATTAAATGACTAAATGAATAAGTCCGCGGGTGAGTAGATGGATAGATAAAAGAACAGAGTAATAAAGTGGACCCGACCCTCTAAACTTTTAATGAGCTGTATGGCATCTAATTATTTTTTTTTCAAAGGCTGCAGATATTCAGGAACAGAGGTTTGATTTCACACGCAGCGCAGGTCACACTCCTTCATATGGATGGAGAGAGGGATGAATTATCCTGTCCTCTCTCATTAAAAAAGAGACACACTCCCTCTCTCCCTCCAGCTCAAACTACGCATCTTCTCAACCTCTTTTATTCATTTCTAACCGTTCATTCCTTCCTTCATCCATCTTTATATGTAAATTGATAAGTGCATTAATCACACCCACATCCTAAATTCCCCTGTATAGCGCATGTTTGCCCCTTGATTCATATTCATGAGCGTGATGCATATGCATGGGATGCAAATGGCAGGCCTAAATGCAAGCAGGTCGATCCAGGTCCGTCATGATCCAGAATGTCCCGTCTGTCAGCAGAGTAATGCCAGTTAATCAAAGTATTAACAGCAGATTACATTGATCTAGTGCTGACATGATATATTGCCTGCTGGAGAGTTCAGAAAATGTTGACTGCTGATTTGAGTGTCTTCCGAAAGCACCTACATTATTATATATTCAACAAATGTGGAATCTTAGTTATATATGTGAAATGTTATAAATGAGCAATATCACATGAGTAGCATTGCGATATGGCTGGATATCAGCACTGGTGGGAGGCGTACGTTGGCATGAGACCGCAGGCCAAGTGCCTTAGTGTCCCACCAGTGCTGATATACAGCCATATCGCACTGCTACTCGTGTGATATTGCGTTTATGCAACAGTTTGACGGCACAATCATACATATAAATAAGAAAATCAAACACAGAGTGTCTAAAAACCCCTTTTTATTAGGAACTACTTTCTTCTGCCATTCATTCACATCTGCAGCTGACGTCAAAACCGCTGAAGCCATTACTAATTCCCCAACGTCACTTTATCGTCACTGGTGTTTGAATGACTCTCTAGCGTAATGTGATAATAAAACAGCTAATTTTGCTCACGTTTTAAGAGTATAAGGTTGAATGTGTCATGAAATGGCAGACATCTACAGAGATATTTTCCTACAGTGTTACAGTCTACAGTATTTCTCTGTTGCAATCGAGATATCACAATAATTAACCCCTAAAAAAAGCGACGCAATCACTACCAGACTGCTGTTGTGTTTGCGATAAGTATAAATGCTAAACACAATCGGACTTTGCTTCTTTCTTTCTGCAAACACAACACACATTCCTGATATGCGAGCGCTGATGTATATCTTACCAGTGAGCCATCAGACCAAAAAGTGCCCTTCTGAATCAAATCAGCAGGATGCCCTTCTGGATCTTTCACTCACTTCAAAGACACTCGTGGCTATGTTTACATGGACATGTGTAATCTAGTTATTTGCCTTAATAGACAATAATATAATTAAGGTGTTTATGTAAAGTGCTTTCATGTAAGAGTTTCCTGTAATTTTCGGAAGTAAGAATCTGTTACGACAATGCTGTCCCATTTCTTAAAAGTAAATTTTAAGCTAGGGCTAGGGGTACAAAAATAGTATCGGGATTGGGCCTTAATTGTTTAATGATCAATCTGCTTAAATTTGTAAAACAATATTAAGTTAACTTAATCAGTTTGCGTTGGAGCAACAAGAATAAATTGTTGAACCGAGCATTTTTACCAAAGTGTTTGTGACTTCCGGTTTCGATATGAGCGAGTAGCACGCAGCTCAAGACAGCTCCGTGAAAAATCTAATATAACTTCGTCAGAACATCTTGTAAAAGATAGTGAGCACTAATATACTTATAGTCTCACATTCTAGAAACTACTAGCCGACATCCGGATATAATTTGTCCAGTTTCCTTATTATGCCGGCAAAATCTCGAAAAAACCCGGACCAGGCCGTGACAGCCTCCAGCTCTTGTGTGGAAGAAACGCCTGAAGAGGATGCTCCAGAGGCGAGCAGCTCAGTCATCCTTAATGCGATATCTTCTCTCGGTGCAGAACTTCACTCAATTAAATCAGAGATTAGGAAAATTATAGATTCGAAGATCGAGCAACTTGCTGTCACTATCAGAGGAGAACTGTCAGCATTTAAAAACGAGGCCAACTCGGCAATTTTGGAGATTAAAGCTACGACGGATGATCATGCCGCGGAATTAACAAGCCTGGAAAGTTACGCTTCTACTTCGTCGGACACAATGATCAAGATGGAACAAGATCTGGTTAAACTGAAGCTCACCGTGGAGCAACTTACTGAAAAATGCAGTAAGTCGCAAATGAAAGCCGCAGCAGAAGGCAAAATATACGCATACTCAACATTAAAGAGGGTGCTGAATTCGGAGTGAAGCCTAGAGATTTCGTTGCTCAACTCCTGACAGAAGCCTTGTCACTAGAGAAACCTTCACTTGTGGATCGTGCCCACCGAACTCTATGTGCCCGCCCTGGAAATGATGAACCCCCTCGTGCTTTCATTTTGCGCCTGCATTATGTCCACGAGATGGAAGAAATAATGCAAAAAGCGGCTAGGATGCAACAGATTGTCTTCAAGGCACAAAGAATTAACATCTTTCCGGACTATCCACCTGCTGTGGTAAAACGACGCGCACTTTTCAAACGCGCGAGGGAGTTGCTGAAGGATAAACCAGGAGTGAAATACGGACTGCAATACCCTGCTAAACTGAGGGTATCACACAACGGCAAAGAGTTCTACTTTACCGACCCCGACAAAGCGGTTACGTTTGCTGAAAGCAACTTTGAAATACCAGGAACAGTGTAAAGGATGTCAGACTCGAGATAAGTCAGGATAAGAATAACAATGTGTTTGTGTTATTTTTGTGTCAACAGCAGTGCACATTGTGTCATAAGTTCATACGATCTCATCAAAAACACACCGATTTCAGTGAGCTTGCACTTGGTGGTCATGTAGCTGAAGCAGCTGAAAGCCTCCCTGTTGTGTAGCTACAGAATTAATGATAAACAAGTGCAGGATTCTCCTCAGCTCTTGAGGAGAATCCCGGCTATCTGTACTTCTACTTGAGTAAAGGATGCGTGTACTTTTGCCATTCTGAGTGTGGGACAGGTTTATACAGCAAGCACAAAATCATCAACACCTCCATATAGCCTCTCTGAAAGAGTCAGACTGGTCTTTCTTTTTTTAAAATCCAATAACAAACACTTCTAGCCTTTCTTCTGTGCTTGTGCTGACATCAGGTTGACTGACGTGTCTTGGGAGCACCTTTTCACTCATTTCTCTTGAAACAGGCCTTGCAAACAGGAATTGTCTCACCTTGCTCTTAAACAGGAACAAATACAAGCTTTGCTCTCACAAACACATTTTTTGTCTGAAGTAAACTGACACTAACTCCTTCAGACACTCTGTCAGCAGTGCGTTCTGAAACAATAGCATGTTTGAGTTGCATCCCAAGTGATATATGGCACATTAATAGCTTCTCATTTGTCGTCATTCTTTTCATCATCATGTTGGCAAAAAAAAAAAAAAAAAAAAAAAAAAATCCATTGCAAATCCATTTAACTTTTATTTTCAATTAGCTTACCTGTTAACACAGACAACTTTTATATCCACTGCATCTGGAAATTATTTATAGCATTTCATTTTTTCCAAATTTTTTATGTTACAGCCTTATTCCTAAATGGATTAAATTAATTTATTTCCTCAAAGTTCTACACACAATACCCTATAATGACCATGTGAAAAAAATTGTTTTTGAAATTGTTGCAAATTTATTAAAAATAAAAATAAAAACCTGAAAAATCACGTACATAAGTATTTACAGACTTTTCCGTAAAGCTCTAAATTGAGCTCAGGTACATTCTGTTTTCTCTGATCATTCTTAAGATGTTTCAGCAGCTTAACTGAGGTTCATCTGTGGTAAATTCAGTTGATTGGGCATGATTTGAAAAGGCATACACCTGTCTTCATAAGGCCTAAGGGTTGACAGTGCATGTCAAAGCACAAATCAAGCAATTGTCTGTAGACCTCTGATACAGGATTGTCTCGAGGCACAAGACTGGAGAAGGTTACAAAACATTTCTGCTCCTCTGAAAGTTTCAATGAGCACAATGACCTCCATCATCCATAAGTGGAAGATGTTTGGAACCACCAGGTTCAATAAAATAATAAATTAGCAGTTTTTTCTATTTTGCGATTGATGTTTTTATTTTTTTATATTTTTATTTTTTTGCATTATAGGATCTTGATCTTTCTTCTAACAATTTTTAACCTTGAACAGTTGGAAAAGGTGACTTTTATTAACATTTTTAACAGTTTGAAGTGTTATATTGTCTGGGATGGTGTTGTATATTATGCTACAAAATCCTTGTATTTTTATTGTCTATATACAGTATTATTGTTTATACATTATATTTTTTCATGTAATCAAATACTTTTCTACTTTAAATGCAGAAAAATTTTTACTGAAGTAATACTCTAATAAGAGTTATCTGTACTTTAACCCAAGTGCTTGATTTACTCTATCCGCCACTAAAGAGTCCACTAAAGCTATAAAAACTCTCACTAACAACATCTTTCTCACTCTTCTTTCCCCAGCGTGTCCTCCAGGAACATTCAAGGCTAGTCAAGGGCCGGGTCTGTGTTCTCAGTGTCCAGCCAACAGCAGATCTACATCTGAAGCGGCCACCATCTGCGTCTGCAGGAACGGCTACTACCGAGCAGACGGAGAGCAGCCAGACATGCCCTGCACCAGTGAGTCATTCTCATCATCATCATCATCATCATCATCATCCTCCTATTAGTGCTATTCTAATCATCATTAACATTAAACTCAAGCGCTCAGGTCAGAACATCACTTCACAAGCACTTGGAGAGCTCAGGTTTACACCAGCAGGAAGATGTTGCTCAAATTGAGCCTGCTGATGAGATTGTTTAGATGGATCATGTGTTGAAAATGAAAGAAGATATATTACTTGTATTACTTGTATATACAGTTGAAGTCAAACTTATTAGCCTCCCTGTGAATTTTTTATTTTTTAAACATTTCCAAAATTATGTTTAAGGGGTTGATCACAACATGCTTTTGGTATGAGAGGCACATCTTTTGACTGGTTAACTAATGGCCATGAGCGTTTTCTTATGCACCCTGCGTGTTTTAACCACCAGTTGCGCCTCATGTTTTTGCCGTTGCACACTGTGTGCTAGCAATTGAAAAATACCAAGTCTGAGCAGAAAAAGCATGACATGTCACTCACGTCTTTTCGTTATCCAATCAAATGAAAGCAGAGGCGGGTTTTCGTTGAGGTGACAGCAGTGTTTCTGTTATCAAGCCGACTACGGAGACTTTTTAAGATAGAGGAGAGACTAGTGATTGCTGTTTTGAGTTAACTGTCTGACTTGACAAATCTTGAATGTCACAATATTATTAAATATAAAACTTATACCAATAACAACAGCAACACTTTTTTTTCTTGTCGACAAAAATATAATAATAATAATAATAATAATAATAATAATATTTTTTCTTCTGAAGTAAGTCTTATTTGTTTTATTTTGGCTAGAATAAAAGTAAAAAAAAAAATAGGATCAATATTATTAGCCTCTTTAAGCTTTTTTCTTGATTATTTACAGAACCTAGATGGTGAATACTACTATCTTGAAAAATATCTAATAAAATATTATTTACTGTCATCATAGCAAAGATAAAAGAAATCAGCTATTAGAAATTAGTTACTAGAAATTTTATGTTTAGAAATGTGTTTCTAATAATTTAGGTGGGCTAATAATTCTTTACCTGTATTTATTTATTTATTTATTCCATGGTCTGTTGAAATTCTTGATTCTGATTGGCTGATTATCATTGTTTTTGAAATGCACAGGTAGATCCAGCAAAGTCCCTTTAAGGCAAGTTATTTCACTTGACGGCCATCTTTGAAATGCCTCTCGGGCATTCTGTCTGAATGAGAAAACATCAAATTCTCCAAAACAGTTTACATTACGATTACATTACATATTTGGAATCACCAATAAAATTAAACAAACTGTCTTATAAGTTTAGTTTCTAAACGTTCGAATGCAACAAAATCTATATATTTTACGGTTGCCTGAGCTAATGCGCATGCGCACTCAAAAGGAACAAGATTACAGCACCAACCTCATTTATGGTCAGGTACACATTATCATCCTCTGGATAATGATCGTCTGATCGGGCTGCTTTTCTGAAGTAATTCACAACTTGGTCTTGATGGTGAATCTCCTCCAGAAATGACAGCAACACTTTGTTTACAATTTGTGTTTGAGTGTAGTGTTTGAGTAGTTCCTGTCATGTGATGTGTGTTTGACAGGACGGACTGTACCTCACGTTCATTTCATACAGATTACAAAACCAGGAAACTTTTGTTTTCAAGTGTAGTTGGTTCATTTAAAAACACAGATTTCAAGCTTAATGTGGATATATTTCTTATGTCTGTGAAGCAAGTATTCTCTGAGAATCGAGTGTGTTTGTTGAGCACAAAAACACTGTCGTAAAAACACATGTCTGGTCTGAGCTTCTCCCCCAGAGAAGCATCAGTCTAGAGCGATCAGTGATTGGCTCCTCTACTTGTAGGCGGAGCTTCATTTGCTATATTGACTGTTACACATTTTTCCTAATTCAAAACTATATACAGTAAGAGAATCATGTTGTGTATTCTTTAGGCTGTGTCCGAAACCGCATACTACCATTCTATATGGTACGGTAAAATCAGTACGTGAGCCGAGTAGTATATCTGAATTCATTGAATTCAAAAATCAGTATGCTAGAAGTACCCGAATGACCTCTTCTGGCGAGATTCTGAAGTGTGCATCCCATGCAAGCTGTGTTATCCCATGATGCCCCACAAGAGAATTTATAAACGGGAGTGAAGCGATGCAACTGACGCAAGTAGGTCACGTGACCATGACAAAATGTACGTCTGAATTCCATTCATACTTCTCTCATTCATATTGTACAGAACATACTTTTCTAACGCCCGACTAGTAACTTTAAATTCAAATGCAGTACTGAGCAGTAGGCGGTTTCGGACGCAGCCATTGTGTTTGGTTTCTGGCAGTTTTGATCACAGTTTGAAACAAATACACTTCCCCCAAACATAGGTAGTAACTATAGCAACTGCTATGAGTGGCAGTTCACTGTAGTGGAATGCAATTTTAGAAATACCAGTAAATGTTGACCTTGTGGAGACTCCTCATGATGAAAATGGCTCATAAATCACACAGAATGAAGTATTTTGAAAATGTAAAAATGCAGACTGTTTCCTGTGAGGGATGGGTTTAGGAGTAGGGTTGGCTTGAGGTGGGAATAGAAAATACAGTCAGTACAGTATAAAAATGTGTCTATGGGAAGTCCACATAGAGATAGCTGTGTGTGTGTGTGTGTGTGTGTGTGTGTGTGTGTGTGTGTGTGTGTGTGTGTGTGTGTGTGTGTGTGTGTGTGTGTGTGTGTGTGTGTGTGTGTGTGTGTGTGTTTGGGTTTTTGTTTCTGTGGTCTTCTTCAATCACAAATTCAATTACTGCATTTATTTTATTTTTTTGGATGCATCTACTAATACATTTATTTCTTTCCACAAAACATGTTGAACACACAGAAATAACTTGTTTTATTCTTATTTTGAACAGCCTCTGGGTGATTTTTTATTTATTTTTTGGATCGAATTTATTTAAGAAATATTTACTGTTTTAGCACATCTAATTTATACTAGAGGGAACAGGTTTCATAACACAGCAGATCAGTGATAAACTGCCCCGTTTTAGCATATTATTTAGCTTTATTTAGCAGAAGTTTAAAATCTGCAGTTTAATATTTTGAATTAGCTTGTCTTTTTTCTGTTTTCTTTCACATTTTTAATAATTTAAATTTTGTATTATTTTAGTTATTTTATTTTTTATTTTTTTACTTTGTGTAATTTTATTTTTAAGTCAAAACGGATAAAGAACACTGTAAGAAATGCAGGGTTCCACACAGTTCCTTCATGTTGTCCCAAGACAAATCGATTAAATTAACTTAATTGTTTTTACAAATTTAAGGAATGTTTGGATTAACCTTAAAAAATTAAGTTGTCCCCAAAAAAACTTAAACTCGTTTTAAATAAGTTGTTTAAACAAGCAGCATTTTTTGAGTGAAAGAATAAATAAATAAATAAATAAATAAATAAATAAATAAATAAATAAATAAATAAATTAATTAATAATGTGTAAAACTATTGTCACCCAGAAATCGAAAATACATTTCACATACAAAGAAAAGCTAAACATACTGAATAAAGTTTTATTTTGTTAAAAAAAATAAAATAAAAAATTGTTGTGAAGCCTATTTTATTTATAGATGTTTTTTTTTTTTTTTTCTGTAGCATACTCCAGTTATCTGTAGTTTTCTGCTGAATTGAAGAAGTACAATCCAGCACAAAGAAAAACAAAAACAGAAAGAAAAAAAAAAACATGTAAAGGTGGCAGTTAGTGTTTGCAGTCCTGAAAAGCTGGCAAGTCCTCTCAGCATTTTAATTCACCATTTAGAGTCTAAAATGGCGTTCAGTGAAACACATACAGATGGCAATTTGCAATTTAGCCCAACACCTGCTCTGATAAAGCCCTGTACTATAACACCTGGTCATTTTACTGTCTCAGACAGTTTGAAAATGATTCAAATATATATATTTTTTTCCTTTCAGTGAGTTGCTGCTTAAAATGGCTTGCAAAGCATATAGCAGTTATACAGAGAAACAATAAGGTAGTTTAACTATTAGGAGTGATTTTTCTGTTATAGTGTGATATTAAAAGCACAGACAGCAGTAGGTATGCTCAACTGTCTCTTTAATACATTAATTTAATATGAAAATGTGATTTCTTTACAATTGGTTTACATTTACAGATATAACCAACCGTTAATGTGAATGCTATATACACAGTTATAGTAAGAGTTGTGGAACTCCAATCGATGGATTGTTCTTCAGTGTTTGGACTTTCAGCAGTGAAAATTAAACCATGCTGAACTGAACTAAACTGAACTTCAACTCTGAAAACTGGACTGACACAGTTTCAATTGACTATAATCTATTATGTTAAGCGGCTTTGACACAATCTACATTGTAAAAGCGCTATAGAAATAAACATGAATTGAATTGAATTTTAGTCAAAATTTATAATTTTTTTGTATATTTCCCAAATAATGTTCAACAGGGCAAAGATGTTTTCACATAATTAAATAAGTAATGTAGCATGTTTATATGAAGAAACATTTGTATTTAAAAAATCCCTTTATAATTCCTTTCATCTTTTAACATTATTTGTTCAGTTATTATGTGTGTACCAATATTCAAGCTTAGTTATTATATTAAATCAAGTTATTATGAGATATTCATAAGTTTAATTATTACTATTATTAAGTCAAAAGTGAATCTATTGTTCCATAACATTGCTGGTGCTATAATTAGGTGTGTGTACTGTATATGTACAGTTGAAGTCAGAATTATTAGCCCCCCTTTGATTTTTTTATTCCTTTTGAAATATTTCCCAAATTATGTTTAACAGAGCAAGGGAATTTTCACAGTATGTCTGATAATATTTTTTTTTTTTTTCTGGAGAAAGTCTTATTTGTTTAATTTCGGCTAGAATAAAAGCAGTTTATAATTTTTTAAACACCATTTTAAGGACAAAATTATTAGCCCCTTTAAGCTATTTTTTTTTTTCTATATATATATTTACACAACAGTTCTGTC